CAATGTTTATGCAAAATTTTGGAGTGACAATCAAAGAGTATTATGGTCTGTTATGGTATTTTCTGTAGTGGTCAATTGCATACCCCTTGAATGAAACGCAAAGTGTTTTCAGTTACTTTTCGACTTTCCACGCTTGATTGATGAAACGTTCTCTGTCTTGTTTGGTGCTTACTTTCTCGTTCCGTTTATTTATTGCCATGTCAAAGCAGAGAAGAATATTAATTCATTCTTTGGTTGAGAAAGCAACGTTGAAGCAGCACTGACACCAATCAGGAAGAAAAATCAGATGATATTGATGAACCTTTTGTCGAACAGAAGGCTAAAGCTGAATACTCCAATTCCAGAAAAAAACCGGACGTTGCATGGAAGTGGCGGCACGATTTCTGTGACGGAGCGAAGCTGCGCCGCGCCGATCTCTTAAGTGAAGAGTCACATATTGGATTAATGTTCATACTATATCGGATAGTTAGCCAAAAATAGCTATCCAGCATAGTGTGAACAAAGCCTAAAATAAGGCGATATTTTTTGGCCATTTTTTACATCCAGATTAACCAGAATACTGCTCTGATTTCAGTGTCTACCGAAATGAATATGAGTTCAGAGTGTTTTTGAATGCCTCCAGGTCCCAAGAAAAAGAAAAAAACAGAACAAAACAAAAATTTCACACAAGCCGCATTCTAGTTTCATGCTGGTCAGCGTCTCGTAAAAAAGTTAAAGTTGGTTCATATTTTGTGCCGTATGCTGTCCTGTCAATGAATTATCTTACATTAGAAAACGTTTCTATCACTACGAAGAAAACGTATACGAGAAGTGACCCCTCCGTATCTGATAGCCCCGATTCTCCAAGGCATTTTGCACACTACTCATTACAAAAACTAATCTTCATACCTACTTCCTCTTGCGTTACATCAGGTTTCTGAGGAGTCGTTCGAAGATGGTAATTGCCAAGTAACGGATCCGATGTTGTTCCATAGAGAATCAGGGTCCAGTCTTGGAAGTAAAGCCATTCTACATGAAATATTGAGCATTGTACGTTATTCTCGTGATGAAGGGCTACAAAATCCTAAATCATTATCTTTTTAAGATAGCTATGAAATATTTGTTCAAGAAAACTTTAAGAAGTCTCTTGTTATCTTTTTTATTTAGTGGCAAACCGGGCATGTTGGAAATTGGGTTCCGTTGCTGTAGACGTCAACCTCAAGATTGTGTAGATAAAAGAGCCCTCGACTACCATAGGAATTGAAGGCCTATCACTACATAATACAGGAAATGTTAATGCGCATCGGGTCACAGCCTGTGGCCTAGGTTGCTACGTGCCATCATTCCGTCCTTAACATGATTTTAATAGCACTTTTCGCAGAATCCTTCCTGACCCTAGCAAGGTTATTTCCTGTAAAAGTTCCATGCAATATAGCATTCCCAAATGTCCAAGCCACATTCCAAATCCTCTCGAAACTGTTCCCAGTGTACCAGTTACTATTGAGGGACTGGAACTGAACGACAGTTCCAAATTCCATCGCGCAAAATGATTGGACGTCATTAGCTCATGACCACCGAAGCGGCAAATTCAAATGCACGAGCGCTTTGAATAAGCTCCAATTAACAGTAAAAAGGGCCTCTTTTGGCCCACCAGCGTTGATAAAAGTCATTCGCGCGACTTCGTTAGCTTCAAAAGGACAAATCCACTGACACGATTAAAAATGAATGATTTATCTACAATTGAAGCACAACAGATAAGGACTATCCCTCGGCATTTTTGTTTGGAAGCTGACTTTAAGCAAGATTTGATCTCGTATTTCAAGTCACAGTAATTATCGATCTTCTCTCTTTCCTTGCTTACCATTCTGGTGTCGAATTTACTATTATTATTATTATTATTAAGTTTCAGTTTTTTTTTGCCTTAAGTGTTTCCCTCTTTTTGCCCTTCCTCTGCATAACATATATTGCTCCTCGATCTAGAATCTGAGGTGTAGAGACTGTTTAATCTCCCCCTTTTTAATCAAACTTGTTCTACAACTTACTAATTAAAATCTTTATTACAAAACTTCAATTAAAATCCTATTTACAATCAACCCTCGGCCTTCATCAGAGAACAAAAACAATCCTATATATAATAAGTGAAGAAAGAAACTATTCATTTACAAATTCTAAAAAATAGAAGTAATTTAACCTTACATAAAAGAAGAGGAAATAGATATAATTAATAATAAAAGTTCAAAATTCTATAAAATAAAGAATTCCATTATGCAGAGATATTAAGATCCTGCAATCGAATTATACTAATGACGGCTAAACCAGTGTCCATAAAAAGCCCTCAGTAAAAGCATATAGAGACGTATTTCAGATATCCGCACTAGCGACATTTATTTTACAGTCTAATGATTGCTCTATCTTGCTACGAAACGGCGTTTGCGAACCTCTGACGCATGCATGTACCGATCTTAAGAGTTCAAACGAGATCTGTGTCCTGAGCCAAGTGATTACAACATGATAAGGCTCGGTGTCTTTCTGAGCTA